GCTTGGTACTGTACCTGCTGCTGCTGCTTGGTACTGTACCTGCTGCTTCTGCTTGGTACTGTACCTGCTGCTTCTGCTTGGTACTGTACCTGCTGCTTCTGCTTGGTACTGTACCTGCTGCTGCTGCTGCTTGGTACTGTACCTGCTGCTGCTGTTGCTGCTGGCTGCTGGCTGCTGCTGCTGCTGCTGGCTGCTGGCTGCTTGCTGCTGCTTGCTGCTGGCTGCTAGCTGCTGCTGGCTGCTTGCTGCTTGGTAGCTGCTGCTGCTGCTGCTTGGTAGCTGCTGCTGCTGTAGCTGCTGCCGCTGCTACTGCTTGGTGGCTGCTGCTGCTGCTGCTTGGTAGCTGCTCCTGCTGCTGCTTGGTAGCTGCTGCTGCTGTAGCCGCTGCCGCTGCTGCTACTGCTTGGTGGCTGCTGCTGCTGCTTGGTGGCTGCTGCTGCTGCTGCTGCTGCTTGGTGGCTGCTGCTGCTAGCTGCTGTTGATGCTGCTGCTGCTGCTTGGTAGCTGCTTCTGCTGCTGCTGCTTGGTAGCTGCTGCTGCTGCTTGGTAGCTGCTGCTTCTGCTGCTGCTGCTTGGTAGCTGCTGCTGCTTGGTGGCTGCTGCTGATGATGCTGCTGCTGCTGCTTGGTAGCTGCGCTGCTGCCGTTGCTGGGGTGGTTGTGTGTTGCCGTGTTGGGGTCGTATTGGGGGGGCGCTGTTGGCACTCTCCTTTTCCCTTGGCCATGGCATGTTGCGATTCCCGGCCAGGCTTTTCCTGCCAAAGAGCCCCAGCGTTGTTTCTTTGCCTAGCTTTCGCCACCCCGCTCTGGGCCACAAGATTGTGAAAATCCAATGTAACGGACGGTGCAGTGCAGTGAACGGAATTGCAACTGATCAGCTGTTTCTTGACTTACAAAAGGCTCATTTTTGTTCCTGGCCCGGCGTAGGCTCAGCATAACCTTGCAAAGGCCTGTGCATAGAAACGAGAGTTCATGCCCAACCAGTAGCCCACCCACCCGATTCTGGTTAAAGCCAAAGTGCCTTGGTGTGATTGGCAGCTAACAGTGGGCTCTAACTTCTGGTCGGCTTGGCGCCTTCCATTGCAAGAGAGCTGTTTGACAGTGTAGGGGGAACCAGGATTTAATTTTCAACCTCGAGCTCATCGTGCACCACTTCAGCGATTGAGTAGAGGCAAGGAGCAAGTATAATAATACGCAATTGCTCGCCATGGCATCTGCTCGCGTAGGCATCCTGGCGTAGGCTCGACTAAGAGAAATGTTCCCGTGTAGGCAACCTTTTGCATGGCGTAGGCTATGTGTAGGCTGGTGCATAGGAACCTTTGCAGTGTGTACACTCCAAGCACAAAAAACACCTCATATATAACCGATCGTGTGTGTGAGCTGGATTGCGGATGTTCCTTGTTTGGCGGGGCTGTAAATCCGATAATTTCCCTGCGAATCCTATCCACTTCAGACCATTGTTCTCCAAGAGGGACATCGCCCCATTTCATCATATCTCTCAACCGAGACATTATACCACATCATCAGAGACTTCCAACTCCATCGGAGACTTCCCCCCCCAAGACAAAAGGTAAAGCAGTCAAAAGATCTCCAAGCAAAGCCACTCTGGCTTGCAGGACTTGTGTTACTGCATACAAAGTGCAGTGCAAGCGCAAACTTGATCAGTTGGGAGCCCCAGGATGCCCCAGGATGCCCCAGCTGCCCCCAGTTGGTCCTAGTCCTAGTATTACAGTGCTCAGTGGTTCAGTGACACTCAGTACTTGAATGAAACAGATGTTCCTTTTCCTGTTGCCAGACTTTTGCACGTCGTGTTTTTTGACTGACACTCTGTCAGATAGCACCCGGAATTGGTCGAAAAAAAGTGTTCAAACACAGTTTGCTCCTGCGGATACCTTGATCTTATGTTTGACAACGCATGAAAATGCAAGTGGGTTATATATGATCTTACTTCTTTACTGGAGTATGGTCGGTCGGAGATGAGCAGAGCAAAACGAGTACTTTCCCAAATAGGTACACCATGTTCTTGTTGGTTCTCCAGTTTGACAACTTCAACCTGGGATATCATGTTGATTCCTGATTCCTGCTCACAATCCAAAGTCATGTTCCATTTTTGTTCCAAAAAATTGTGCGCAAAGGTTGCTGTTAAGTTTGGCATTATTTTTCTTGCATTGCTGTGGTCCCTCCATGAAACTAGTGAGCTCACGGAGAGGGAACACCTTGTGGCAGGTGGCACTGAGTTGCTGCGATTTGGACGCAGAGCTGCTACAGACACCGTGCAGTGACGCACCCGTACAAAGTTTGGGCAGAAAAGGATGAGCGACAATCAGGTCTTTGCGAACTGAAGCTGATGGAGGCACTTGGAAGTGGTATCGTTGCGTTCTTAAGGCCTAAAAGATGTAAAAGTGTCTAACCGTCTCAGCAGATGTGTTGTAGCTTAGTTGGTGTCCTCATGTTTCAATCCTTCGAACTGCTGCCGCTGCCTGCCCCATCTCCGAAGGTTAAATCGGCCCCATGACAGACACGACAAGTATTCAGTGTCTCGAAGATTTGAAATGCTATATCATGCTATATCTACTAGATGCTACTGTGACTGGTTCCGCAATAGTCAGCCACTGCTCCCTCGAAATCAGTTCCCGGAACACGCAGTCGAGCCAAACGAAACAAAAAGAGAACTTCTGAAGAACCCATTTGCGCCAAAGAAGCCATGGGCAGCGGAGCTGGCAAACACAAGTATGAGGCGAAGGCACCTCATCCGGCAGAGTGGTGTTCCACTATTTTTGTTACTTGAAAATATATCCAACCTAATAGCGATGGCCCCCACCCTAGTAACAATGGCATCCAACCTAATAGCGATGGCCTCCACCTTAGTAGCAATGGCCTCCAACCAAATAATGTCCATGGCCTCCAGCCTAGTAGCAATGGCCTCCAACCTAATAACGATTGCAGTAAGGTCGGGCAAAGGGAATGTCTAAACACCAACCTTTTGGTGACAGCCGTAGATCAAGATTCCTGCATGCATTGCATGTAGATCAAGATGAGGATGGATTAAGACTCCCTGCAGATCCTATGAGAAATCAATGAGAAATCAACGTCTTTGGGGGTCCGCAGGGAGGATGGTCGCAAGGCTGATTGATGATTGAAGAGTTCCTGTAGATCGAGGTGTCAGCAAAAAAAAAGACATCCCTTCCTTGCGCAGATGGGCCGCCCGGCGGCCACGGGTTCCGGTTCCGTGGCAACCAGGCCCCAAGCGGCGCCACGACGGTGATGGTCGAGCCCAAGGATGAGAATGCATCGCAACCAAAATTCATGCGCTCCCTCTCGCCTTTGCCAGAGGAGGTACGCAGAAACGCAGACGAGCGCCCTGGGCGCGGTGTCGTTGTTCCACACGTGCTGCCGATGTGTTTGTGTTGGTGAACATGTTGAAGCCATTTAAAGAAGCGCCATCGTCAAGACCGAGGCATGGATGTTACTGTATATCAAGACTATGGAATCGTACTCATATTTACCGCCACATATATGACATACCAAACCTAGACATACAGTACGACACACCCCAGTCACCCAAAGGGGAAACGGACTCAAGACTCAAGATGTTTTTCTCTTTGGCATGTTTGGTCAGATCTCTCCCCTACATCGATGGATTTCACGAACAATGCGCGGCGGACACCGCTTTCCAGTGTCGCGCCTCGCTGCCTCCGCTCAGCCTATGCTTCTGTGTGCGGACGTGGGTGGCACCAACACCCGCTTGCACCTCTTCAAAGTCCCGGACCGACTGGCAAAGCGGACGCCGGGCTCGGCCCCAAAAACACGAAACGCGGTGAGGGGCCTGCTTTTGGGGGGGCTTTACTTGGGGAAGATATGGGAAGATACAGTGACAAGTTGCCGTCTGGGTGAATCTCCTTTGGTTCCTGGACGGCAAATCCAAGATCACCTGCGAGATCATCTGAATGGTGTTCATTGTGTTCTGAAATGGGGAAGGCAGAATAATTTCATTTTATATAATAAGTACACCTCGAATAGTTGAGCAATAGACATATATGTTGGATCTCCTAAGTCTGTTGGGAATGTCAGCGACCAACAGAGAGGAGTCACACTTTTGGGCCGAGAGATCTGTTTTGGTGACTTTTTTCAGACACTTCGCCTAGGTACAGACTGCAGGCAACAGATGTGTTGTTGATTGGATGGAATTATATAGATCAAATCATCAAAGCCCGGATCCTGTCTTCCGCACAACCTGGACGCATGGGGATGTAAGTGTTGTTTTTTCTGCTGGCAGGATAGTGTAAAACCATATTTGATGAAGTGCGACAGATTTTGTCATGCATGCCTTCCTTCAAGCGTTGGTTTCTGGGTCTTGGAAACTAGAACATCGAACTCAAGAATTGGGGAGATTCTTGGCGCTTGCATTCCTAGCTACCTCACTCCTAAAAAGAACTGGGCATGCCTTATCCTTGGCGCAAGTTGTAGAGACACCTACTGACACCCCTTAAAAGTATTGGTGTAAGTGTAGGTGACAGTTGTTTTGCCGGATAGAACTGATAGAACTGGATTGAGAACTGAAATGGTTTCTGTTTCCAGCATCACACCTTGGACCATTTGTAGGAATTTGCTGAAAATGCATTGGGGAGAGGAGGGGCCATATAGCAGTATCAACCGAGCACGTACTGGTATCAACATTCTGTTCCATACTCGGTATACACCTGCAAGAACCATGAACCTGCTGTGTGAGCACCTCGCCATCAGTCATAAGCATGGGTGGGAGAATCAACACTTGTAGTGAGTGTGGTCACATGTTGTCAACCCACACGAATTCGGGGAGTCCTGCTGATCTGCAACATGGCCACTCGACGACTTGGCACGACCACGACAGTGCGCTGCAGGACACGACCACGGCTGTGGTTCCAGAATCCTGTATGGTGTACCAGGCCGTGTTCGAGATTGCTTGATGAGAAAGCCCTGTGCCGGTGGTTCCACTATTGACCACCAATACCGCTCAAAGAACTGGTGGACGAATCTACTTCGTCCATGAATCGGTGTGTACGTCGTGGTGAAACGAAAAAGCTCCTGTTCTCAAGAGGTCGAAGGCATGGAGAGGTGGGTACAGTAGGACCCAGGTTTGAACATGGATGTGAGCAGCCAAGATATGCCAGGCCAAGTATGCCAATGCACACTACGAGTCCTTCACCGAGGCAGGCTGAGCTGGACACTGCGACGCTGAAATCCGACTGTTGGCAAGGTGACAAGAGCGACACAGAGCGAAACCATCGAAAATCCTTGTTCCATCTATTCCTTTCATCGTCAGAAAAGCGGTGGCCTGTTAAATGCATTCAAGTCCGATAGTTCGGAACCATGGATCCTAAACCAAATCCTAACAAATCTATGAAGTACTCGTCCATGTCCGATTTGTTGGAAGGACACCGACAGAAACGCCCGTCCACCGGTCAAGTACCGTAGTGGTCGCCATTCCGGTCCGGCATCGTCGGACTCGGTGAAACACCCCGTTCCGGTCCAGGTGGCCATGGAATTTCTGAAATCGGCGAAACGCCATCATCAAGGGGGCGGTCTTGGCATGTTCCCGGGCCCAGATGTCGCGCGTGCGCAGGTCTGCAGGAGGAGTGCTGAAGTCTAGACTTTGAATCATGGGAGGTTTGATGCCAGGGAGAACACGAAGATCCGTGAATCTGAAGATCCGTAAATCTCAAAACATATATGACGGATCCATTTTCCGACACGTGCGACAGCCAAGCAGCGACCGGGTGTTGACTCCCACTCCTGGGCGCGGTCGGACAAGCTACAGGTCACAGATCCGACGAGCTATTGGTCGTCACTTCCGTGCTTTTTGTTTGGGGGAACCTGCTCACAACGAGTGGCATAAGATGGATGTCCAAAGCCAAACAGATGGAGTTCCACGAAAGAAGACTGACTTCAACAGTGATGAAATTTTATGTTTTCTATTTTTTTGCATGTTTTCACATGTTTTGATCGATCAATTTTCCACATTTTAAAACATATTTTCACATGTTAAAGCATTTTTTTCACATGTTTTCACATGTTTTCATTTTATTGTGTGTGTGTGTTTTTTATGTCACTTTTTTTTTGGGGAAAACACCTCAAACACAACATGGTTAATCAAATTGTGTTTCTTGGGGAGAAGTTATCCTAAGAGCTGAACACAACTGACCGCAGCAGTCATATCACGCTCCAGTTTGCATGTGAAATTATGTTTTTGCATCTTTTTGCATATTTTTGCATATTTTCGAGATTTTTCGAGATTTTTTGAGTTGTTAACATGATTTTTCCTTTTATCCCCTCGAGATTTGTTGAGATATTTCGAGATGTTTCGAGAGTTTTTGAGATTTTTTGAGATTTTTTGAGATGATTGTTGCTAAGATTTTCATTTAAACCATGTTTTTGCATTGTTTTGCATGTTAAATCTCTTATCGCGATTTTACATCTCTTTTGAAAGTCTTCCATTCCAAGACCTCTCCGCTGAAGTCATTGATTTTTTTTGGTGAGAACACAACCGATCACTTGCTGAATTGAAATGGGAGGGAACAGGTATGCAGATGAGAACAGGTATGCAGATGAGAACAGGTATGCTCAGTGAGCAACTAAGTAACCTGCAAGCAAACCACTTAAGACAGCTCAGATAGAATGGGTAAGCTTCAGTCATATACGAGTTTGTTTACTGTTGCTCACCAAAAGTGTGTAGTTTCTCAATGTTTCTCAGTAATAATTTGATGTCCTTGGGGGGAACAGTTAATGTACACCGAACACCCATGGGGAGCACTGGCATTGTGTTTCCTTTGACCGCCACAATGGGGCCCACAAACACTCGTTTTTGGCCTTCGATCAACATCGACACCATATCTTGTCAACCAATAGCGTGAACATTTCTCTTCCTTTCTCCCCAAGTCACCGACCACAAACCGAACGAAGACGCACGGCCGTTCAAGCAAGGTCCCCACCATACCTGGGATGCTTCGCAGTAGCCGGTGTGGTTGTGGACAACAAGCCGGAAGACCCGGTGTGCGCTCGGCTCGGCGTCACGGCGTCGAGCCGGGCTCTCGAGCGCATCGCCGGCATCGCTGGGCCACTGGGAGGACTTTTCGGGCGATTCCCTATGGAAAAACCATGAAACACATATTCCCTATGGATCCACATACCATTTGAGAAGGTGATTATTTATGTAGCTAGGCTTGGAGGGTCCAATTACCTTCTGAGAAGGTGGCAGTGGATCCATAGGGATTATTATATATGCTATTTTCAAGGCTTGGGTATTCCAGGCCACTTGCAAGAGCCAGCGACAGATGAAGTATGTATAATTTCATTTACTTCATGTGTCTTATATGTGGGTCAAATGCCAATGATTGGTGGAAACGAACCCCAACTTGCCTGGTAGAAGGGACAACAAATGCACTCGCAGTGGTTCAAAGGTCCTTTCTCTCCACCCAGCTTTGGACCTTTCGGTTTAGTTGGCTAAGAGCAGCCAAATCCAAGTTCCTCAGAAGGAGCGAATGCAATGGCCAGGGTAGAACAACACCATGGTTTCCAACAGCCAACAGACTACATATGGCTATATGGCTATATGGCCTATGTTCTGCGAGGATACAAAGATCACCTCCCCCCCTTGGGGGTCGCTTGCGGCCGTTTTCAAGGTGCGGGTCGCTTCTTTGCTGGACGTTCTCAGGTGTAACCTGGTGAATTTGGGCTGGAGAATGGATGGCAATGAGATCGCCAAGGACATCCTGACCTGGGCCGCGACCATGTTTCGGGCGATCACAGGTGGCGACAGAGCTGTTGCGTGGTTTGGGTCAGCCTCAGGTGCACCAGGAAGCAGGTGAACGAACCATGAGACTGAGTTGAAGATTCTACAGGTGTTCATCATGTTGTTGCATGTGTTTTTGATGCTCGGTTATGACACAAAAAAACACATATCATCAGGTGTTTGCTCATGTGCAAAGATCCGTGAATCACATACCGCACATGCAGTGGATTTATGTTCGTTGAACTCCTGTTTGAAGCACTTGTTTACTAGTAGTAACAGGTGCATCGCTAGTAGTAACAAGGTTAGCTGCTGGTGAAAAAATGCAACGCAAACAGGATCTCAAGATGAAAGTAATCTATTTGATGAATGATTTCGAGGCTCAAGGCCCGGATCGGAAGGTGTGAAGATCGGCACGGACGGACCAAGGGTGAAGAGGGCCGGCGGATGCACTCACACATATTGGAGTACTTAATGGATGTCGCCGGCCCGGTTGTGTTCTTTTCAAATTCTCTATGCTGCCAATGTTTTTTTTCGGGAATGAAGCACGCAAAGACATATTCTTGATTCAACAGGCATCTGAAGACTCGGTTTGTGATCCTCTTTTGAAGCAGCCATCGCTCCATTGCTTGAAGAACCGTTTCCATGTATCCAACAAAGACGGGAAGTGATGCAAATGGCCACCACGGTCCATTTCAAGACTTGTTTCACTATAGAAACTGGGATGTCCACTTCCACTTTGGAGGGAGGGCAACTGTTAATTCTTGGTAGGTACCAGGTACACATATCCCGTGTTAGACACTAGAAGAGTCGGGGCCCAGAGAAGTGTGGTTAATCATTACGCTTATATAATCCTTTATCCATAGCAGAGGAAATATTAAGAGCCTCTCAAGAGCATGGCGAAACTATGACTGCCTCATAGAGCCTCCAATAGCACATCCACCAAGAATTCATCCTTGCATCATCTCATTCTGTTCATCCTTTGCGTTTGTAGCAACAGTTTGGTACAACTTTGGAGTCTTCATCCTCCACCTTTTCTTTTTGAGCGTCCCCAGGCTATGGAATTTTGACCTTGGATCCGACGAAAGATTGCGATGTTCTGCAGGCGGTTCGCCACTCCCGGGGATCACGAAGGGTGTGGACGGATCACGAAAGCTCAGGGAACAGCTGCTCCGGTGGGGGGATTAGGTGCAGAGGCCGGTGAAGACTGGTGATAGAAGTGGGGGTGTCGGATGGTGGTGTTCCGACTCATCTTTGTTTCATGCAAAACGAAGCAGGAGATGAGCTCAGAGAGAAGATGTGACACTGTGACCCACATGTACAGACAAGCATCACACAACAAAGAGCGGATAAAGATTCGTCGGCGCAATAATGCTCGCATGGCCAGGAGGCACCGATTTTGCCCGGGGCACCCATTGCACTACTGGGTGCAGGTGGGATGTGCATTCTTCATCCGACACAACGAGTTACTGGGAAGAAACGAAACTGGCAGAACGAAGAAAAGGGGGATCTCGATGCGAACGATGCAGAACGAGGGAACTCCGTGCTGTCCGTGCTGCGCTGCGAAAGACGGGGATCGAAGACCGGACCGTTCGCCTTCTGAGACGGTGTGGACCCGCCCACCAGGCATGACCAGGCAACGAAAGAATGGAGTTTCCCTAGTTTTCCTTAGGTTTTTTTCACCAAACAGTGTGAACACACGAACGGGGTTCTGTCACGGTAGTAGTGGTTAAGCACCGGTGGGCGAACAAATCGAGGTGTCGCACACTGTTTGGGGTCTCAGTGCGAGAGTGCGAGATCGAATCATGTGGTTGCGGTCAGGCACTGGCTTGGGGCAGGCCTTCATGACCACTGGAGAGAATGGAGACTATGAGGTGGGGCAATGTGGAAGAAAGCAGGGAAGACTTGGAAAGCATAAAGCAATTACAAAGCAAAGGCAACAAAGCACATCATATGCCTCAAACAGATCTGAAACTACACGGAGCCTGCAGACCCCCAGGGTGGTACGTTTTTTGCATGACTGACTGACATAGTATAGTTGGAAAACCTGACACGCAGCACCATGTGACGTGCCTGGTCTCTTTCCCGAATGCGTAGCGAAGGGTTCCCGTTTATAGTTGGGGGTCTGGGGGTTGGAGCTGTGTTTGCATGGCTTGCGTCGTGTCGTCGTCTCTCGTCGTCTCTCATCGTTTGTCGTCGTCTCTCGTCGTCGTCGCGTCTCAAATTTGCTGCCATTGGGGGAAGCTTTTGCAAGTGACTTTTCATGGATGTGTCACGTGTCAGTTTGCGCCGCTATTCCATTGTGATTTGCATGACACCGACATGTCGCGCAAGAAACGTGATGCATTTCGCTGCACAGGCGCAGCGTTTTGTGAGATCCGCAGTTTGCTGCGCAGTGCCATTGGGATTAGCGTTTGGAGAGTCGTGTTTTTGGGGTGTTGGATGTGGCCGTGCCATTGGGATTTGCGTTTCAGGGTGTGGCATCGAAGCTCGGTTTTCGTGACAAGTCTCAGCTGAAATGGCGATTTTGGTGGATGGGAGTGTGCTCTGAACGGGTCGAAATCATTCCAAACGTGTGGTGTGGTGCTTGTTGAAGCTCACATGC